AACATTCATTGTCACATAATAGTACAAATACTGTTTCAGAGGCTTTACCATCCTGGAAGGAACAAGTAAATCACTAAAACCTTGTGTTATCCTGGCATTTAATTAAATCAAATGCTCCAGTCGAGAGGTTATCTGCACTGAAGAAACAAGTACCTTTCCTGACATCTGCTTTTAATACTTTGAGCCTGATGTCTAAAGGAGATGTTACTGTACATTTCTTTGAAAAACATTTATTTACATCAACTCCAGAAGGTAAAATTCCCACAAATTGAAAGCAACTGTTCACACTTTATTGTCTATATGAGCCTGTGGGCTGATGTCCACAGCAGCTTCTTACCTGGAATAGCAGGACAGGCTGGTACACAGCAGTGTGTTTCCAACGGCAATGAGGACAAAATGTTGATGGAGCAAGCTGTTCACCCAGCAGTCTGGCATGACGTAGTACCCATAGCTGATGGCACAACCTGACCACAAACACACAACATTAAAATGCTAAGTGATTTAACATGAGGTGTTGCTGTAACTCTGTTCATCTTGCCTTCTGGAGCTTCTGGCTTCCTACTGCTCCTGCACATGCCTTTATTTAGTTTACATTCATGTATATTAAAGTATACTGCATGATGAATGTCTGTGTATGCAGTATATGTGGATGTATTTGTGTACAGATCATTATGTTCATAATAACTGCATTTTTTATGTAAATAAAGCTTAAATGTATCTTTTGGTAAATTATGTACGACTCGCAGCAGTTTCAATACATTCATAAAAAAAGCTAAATCTGGTTTTCCAAGAAATTCACAAATCAACATTTACTGCTGAAAGAAGAGGGAGGACAGGAGGAAGAAGACATCAAATCAAGGCATTTAAAACACAGCAGCATTAAAGCTATAAATGTATTATCTAAAGATTTGTATTCAGCTGGCAGTCGGAGAATGGTGTCGTTTGTCTGCTATGGTGTGTTCTCTGATACACCCACTGGGAGTCGCCAGAGTAGAACAAGGAGAATCTACACACCAAGGCTTTTACCATACATTTCTTTGTCATTTAACATAATTAATGTCTGCAATTTACAAGCAACGATCTGCCTATCAGAAAGCTTTTCAGTGTACTGGAACTGTCTGAAGACAAAGAGAGGCACAGTGTAGATGTTACAGTGACATCCCACCACCCCTCTGCAGCTCTAATCACTGAGACAGACTTGAACTTTAGTCTGTGCGCCAATCTGAAATACACAGACAACTGTGAACATAGACTCAACTTGAAATGCACAATTCAAGTGCAGACAATGAATCTGTACTGCATGGACGTGTCACCATAACCTCTAGAGTCCTGAGCTTTGGAAACCCAAGCTGTGCGGTCCTCATATGAGGACGCAGGGACTCTAGAGGTTAAAACAGACTGACAGTGTCAGCAGATGCTACAGGAAAACAGGTTGTTCAAATGACTGCTTGTACAGCAGTTAACCCCACTGACTGTGTTCCACCGCGGTCCTTAGTTCAGTGCCTGGATGAGATTATAAATGGATGACTCATAAGTGTTGGAAACTGAACACAAATGTGAGATGCTTCTAGTCAGATCTACGTCAGCTCTCTTCAAGACAAATTAATTCACTTTGCCCATTCATGGCTGGGTTCTGCCCTGATCAATGTAAAAGTTAAGATGTAATTTTTGACAGTACTCTGCCTTTCACCGCTCATATAATGGATGTTTCTAATGCAGCATTTTTCCACCTTCACAGTACTACAAGGCTGCACCCCCAATTGTCACAAGTACTGAGGTCTTGGTCAATGCTTTTCATGACATCACACATTCACTACTATAATTCTAGATGGGTATTCCTAATAAATATCTTCATCAGCTGCAGGTAAGCAAGGATGATTGTCCAGGCAGAAACACAAGATCATTGTACTATACTAAACCAACTCCCCTGGTTCCCAGTCTTTAATTGAACAACAGTTGTCTGGTGAGCTCAGTCTCTCACCCCTTCACCTCTAACTTCAAGATGACCCTGGACTTCAGCAGGCAGAGCTAAATCTTTGCCAAGACTTACCCAGGCTGTAGAGGCTGAGGGCTCCGTAGTCAAAGAAATAGCAGATGTGGCATGATTCTGGGGACATGGTGCTGAAGGTGTGTGCACAGCTAGAAGTGAAGGGGTAAATGCAGATAACCACCATGTACACCAGGAGGGGCCAGGTGTAGATGTCAGTCAGGAAATTCAGAGTGGAGCATAGGATGCAGAAACGCCACAGGAAATACCTGAAAAATGCCATTTTTCTCTTAGTGCAGTGACATAAAACCTCACGTTTATAATACCTCAGTTTATAACTGCTTCACTCTGACTTCTATTGTCCCAGGTGCTTCAACTCTGCTGTACCTGGATGATTCTGTCATTCTGGACTGCAGAATGCAATTTACAAGCATCTCCCCCCCCCATTTACCCTAATCATGTTAGGGTATTATCCATATTTATCTTCTTCACAGTACTACATAGGCTTTAAGGAATTGCATCTCCATGGCTTGTGTGTGTTTTGATTCAGGATCTTCATAGTTTTGGGGATCCTGCTTCAACCCCCCACATAGGCTTTAAGGAATTGCATCTCCAACATGGGGTCCACCCTCGCCAGTCTATCAGAGGGCTGACATGTAGACAAACAACCACACACACACACTCCTACAGGCAATTTAGAGTCACCAATCAACCTAAGCTGGCATCAAATTCAAAGAGTGAATATTTGCAAAAAACAAAGTTTAACAGTTTGAACATTAAATATCTTGTTTTGTGGTGTATTCAATTAAATATGGGTCAAAAATGATTTGCAAGTCAACGTATTCTGTTTTTATTTACGTTTTACACAATGTCCAACTTCATTGGAATTGGGGTTTGTACATGTGAGAAGATTTTCTTTAACTTTAAAGTCAAACATTGGGGCAATTCATAAGCCATTTCTTAGAAGTTGTATACATAAAAGATCACAGCAAAAAGACTATGAATAGTTGCTGAACATGTCTTTGTCTCGTATTGGATCTTCAGGTGCACCAAGACAACGGTGACACATGAAAGTGCACTGAACAACATAGATTAAATGAACATGGGATAATTGAAAAGACTGACACCCACCATGTTGGCAGGAAATGGGTCCAGATGTTGATTGTCTCATTGTTCATTTGGAAGCTGCTGAGGATACAGTCCAGCACTGAACTGCGTGGGTGACGGTATCCAGAAATGATGCTGTCCTCCCTGAACACCTGAGGACCACCCAGAAACAACACTGTAAAAAAACTCTTGTTGAAACAAACTCCTTGTCTCCTACATTGTCTTCAAATTACCTCAGATAAATCTTACCAAATAACACATACACTGACACTATTATATCTGCAATAAGCTAATATATCGGCATACCTCTATTCCCAACTTTTTTGGCTACTGACCACTTAAAGTAAACCAGGGTCAGAATGCAATCCTTCATCACAGATGACATACTGTGCATATGTGGGTTGTTCCACCATGTTTCATGTGATGAATCACTGGAAACCACAGGCAGAGCTATTCAAAACCTTTAGTACCAAATTCCTATTTTTATTGAATCATTTGATTAAAGGAGCTCAGAGCACCATCCTCTGTGACACAGTCATACCAGTTCCCCTGCTTTATGCATTCGGTTACTGTATAGAATATATGAACTTTCTTCTAAAAATAGAATAAAACAAACTATAGGAAAGCCTTCCAGACACTTTGTTAACCTTGTAGAGAAGCCCCTTCCTTGCTTACCTTTGGGACCTGGTGGCTGTCAAAGAGCTGGGGAAGCTTGATGCTAAGCATGTCTGTAGGCAGTCTAAAGGCACCCCTCCCTCTCTGACAAACCTCTCTGAGCCTGGCACGCCCCCGACAGAGGACTAACCAGATAGGGCAGTCAAATACCGGGATCCGGGCCCCTTGTCCTGGATAGTCTGGCTCCCATTGCAACCAGCGTCCCCAGCCTTGGCTCCACCCACCTCCGACGCCACTATGGGCCCCAATCCCCCGCCACACGGGAAACACTGCAGGGATGCACAACAACACAGACAGTCAGACACCAAAGATTCTTCTTCTCACTTATAATTCTGTATGGTCAGGAACCTGTTAAAGAGCTACTGCCGTCCCATGGCACCAGCAGGTCTCTGAGATCTTCTGACTAATGTTTGCTGGTTTTTCCCCGATGTTTAAAACTAATCTGAACTCTTTAAAAGGATCATTCAGTGGTTACAAGTTACATTACTGACAGCCATTTCACAATGAATGCAAGTTGCACTGTAATCATTTAAATTTATTTAAATCATTTATTTAAATCATCATCATTTATTTAAATCATCTTTAAGATGGGAAGAAATCATTTAAATGATTACAGTGCAACTTGCATTCATTGTGTTCCCGTTTTAGACACTCACTGGTTTCAGTTTCTTTTAGTACAGTATCAAAATCAAACTGAAACTTACTTAACATAGCTAATGCATCATGACGACACTACAACAAAAACCCAGTGCAGACAAAGTTACTTAATGTTGAGTTCTATTACAGCTAGCACAGACAACTCTACAGTGTACCATGTCAATATTTACCCTGGCACTAGAAAATAGCCATAGCCATGAGGTGTGTGATTAACTGATTTCACAGGATATTTAGAGGCAGGGAGAAACCCTTCTGTAGTACACTGATAAGAAAAGTCTGCACTCTTATCCTCTCTTTTCATTAAAATGAACTGAACACTATCTGGGTTGTTTGAGTCATCACTGACATACAGCAGTGGAGTCATCAACACTGAACCGGTTGCAACATATCCGATTTCTGAACATTGTGTTCCAGGTTTATCTCTGGGATGATGTCCAAAGTGGAACAGTTCTATCAGCATTAAAGATTATACATTTGACCGGGTCTTTGATGTGACTGATGTCTGGTAGAGCGTGGTGTGGAAGAGCAGATACTGAGAACAACCTCCTATTGTGGCTGCTCTTGAGACAACGATGTGAAGAATGCCTGACACTGTCACATGGCAGTGGCCTGAGAGAAAGTGAGCGTGATAATAAGAACATGTCTGTCAGAGCCAGAACATTCCTTCTCTGTCAACAGCCTAAGACTCGAGACAAATCCTAAATCTTCATTGGATTTTTACCTTTGTCAAAACAACTGTCGCTAAGATCATGATGCCAGTCAAATATTTCCTGGTATCGCTCCTGTCATTACAGCTCAGGCCTTGATGGGTTCCTCTCTGGTAATGTAGCAACAACCTGAGGTGACTGCCACTTACTGCAACCCAGCTGCAGGCCTCCGCCTGCTAACTATGACAAAGTGAGCTTTGTGGAGGCTAAAGCCTTGAGAGTACAGGGTCCAGAGGATATCTGTTACACACTGTGCTGGATGGAAATGAAGGGCCTCCTCTCACTCACTCACTCACAGACACACACACACACACACACACACACACACACACTATCCTATCATGGAGAACATGCACAAGTACCCCGTGCATCAACATTCATGCACACAAGTACATATTGTGCATTTATCAGGACTGGAAGACATAGTAGTACACAAGCAACAACACAAACACACCCAAAGCTTATGTTGATGCCGACAGTTACTAAAAGTCACTCTGTTCACCGCAGTGTGAAAAAACTCATTTGAATTCAGATCATTAACCTCATGTGATGCCAGTGATTTGAATAGTCAGTTTTTTGCAAGCTGTGTGACTGATGTGAATGTTAATTCTACGCATGCAAAATCCATATAATTAGATTATAACTGGCTATAAGAGATAAGAGACAATAGAAGATGACTTTATTAAACTGAAAACGGCCAAGTCAAGAATGTTATTGCTGCAGTGAACTTTGGGAAGCTGACTTGATGTTTGTGGACATGTACCAGGAAACTATACTCCTGAGGACATGAGCTCTCATCAGCAGTGACATATGTAGTGCAGCTCCACAGAGCAAGTATGTCCTGTCACGCTGTCCAACATGAGTAGGAATCATGTGACAAAACTGTACATGGTAAATGGTCTTATACTTGTATAGCGCTTTTCTATGTGTTGCAGCACACTCAAAGCACTTTCACACTTCCAAGCACTCACTGGGAGCAACTGGGGTTCAGTGTCTTGCTCAAGGATACTTCGACATGCGCACTGGACAAGCTGGGAATCGAACTGCTAATCTTCCAGCTAGGAAACGACCTGCTCTAACTCCTGAGCCACAGCTCCCCCATGCTCTGCATTTGAACAGAACCCAAATCCTCCTTCAAAAACACGCAGAAACACGATTAAAAAGCACAGTAGAATTATAAAAGGATGAACATAACCAGCAAACACAACCAAATGAGTAGAAAAACACTGTTTTGACAACTTACACACAGTATATGAAGCAATAAACACCTCCGAGTTTTCAAAATAAGTTACCAAGGAAAAAAGTAACCAAGCTGTTACACTGATGATATGCTTAGTGTGATAAAGGCATGCATACTCCTGTTCACCACACCCTGCTGCACGAGGTCATCTATCTCAATGATGGAACAACTGAGTCACTACGAAAACATGAATTTGTGCCGAGTTAAGCCTGGCTGTTCCACCCTGCGGAGTTGTTATAGTTTTTCAG